ACGACCACATTAGTCCTGACTAGAACCAGGAAGTACGACCACATTAGTCCTGACTAGAACCAGGAAGTACGACCACATTAGTCCTGACTAGAACCAGGAAGTACGACCACATTAGTCCTGACTAGAACCAGGAAGTACGACCACATTAGTCCTGACTAGAACCAGGAAGTACGACCACATTAGTCCTGACTAGAACCAGGAAGTACGACCACATTAGTCCTGACTAGAACCAGGAAGTACGACCACATTAGTCCTGACTAGAACCAGGAAGTACGACCACATTAGTCCTGCCTAGAACCAGGAAGTACGACCACATTAGTCCTGACTAGAACCAGGAAGTACGACCACATTAGTCCTGACTAGAACCAGGAAGTAAGACCACATTAGTCCTGACTAGAACCAGGAAGTACGACCATATTAGTCCTGACTAGAACCAGGAAGTACGACCACATTAGTCCTGACTAGAACCAGGAAGTACGACCACATTAGTCCTGACTAGAACCAGGAAGTACGACCACATTAGTCCTGACTAGAACCAGGAAGTACGACCATATTAGTCCTGACTAGAACCAGGAAGTACGACCACATTAGTCCTGACTAGAACCAGGAAGTACGACCACATTAGTCCTGACTAGAACCAGGAAGTACGACCACATTAGTCCTGACTAGAACCAGGAAGTACGACCACATTAGTCCTGACTAGAACCAGGAAGTACGACCACATTAGTCCTGACTAGAACCAGGAAGTACGACCACATTAGTCCTGACTAGAACCAGGAAGTACGACCACATTAGTCCTGACTAGAACCAGGAAGTACGACCACATTAGTCCTGACTAGAACCAGGAAGTACGACCACATTAGTCCTGACAAGAACCAGGAAGTACGACCACATTAGTCCTGACTAGAACCAGGAAGTACGACCACATTAGTCCTGACTAGAACCAGGAAGTACGACCACATTAGTCCTGACTAGAACCAGGAAGTACGACCATATTAGTCCTGACTAGAACCAGGAAGTACGACCACATTAGTCCTGACTAGAACCAGGAAGTACGACCACATTAGTCCTGACTAGAACCAGGAAGTACTACCACATTAGTCCTGACTAGAACCAGGAAGTACGACCACATTAGTCCTGACTAGAACCAGGAAGTACGACCACATTAGTCCTGACTAGAACCAGGAAGTACGACCACATTAGTCCTGACTAGAACCAGGAAGTACGACCACATTAGTCCTGACTAGAACCAGGAAGTACGACCACATTAGTCCTGACTAGAACCAGGAAGTACGGCCACATTAGTCCTGACTAGAACCAGGAAGTACGACCACATTAGTCCTGACTAGAACCAGGAAGTACGACCACATTAGTCCTGACTAGAACCAGGAAGTACGACCACATTAGTCCTGACAAGAACCAGGAAGTACGACCATATTAGTCCTGACTAGAACCAGGAAGTACGACCACATTAGTCCTGACTAGAACCAGGAAGTACGACCACATTAGTCCTGACTAGAACCAGGAAGTACGACCACATTAGTCCTGACAAGAACCAGGAAGTACGACCACATTAGTCCTGACTAGAACCAGGAAGTACGACCACATTAGTCCTGACTAGAACCAGGAAGTACGACCACATTAGTCCTGACTAGAACCAGGAAGTACGACCACATTAGTCCTGACTAGAACCAGGAAGTACGACCACATTAGTCCTGACTAGAACCAGGAAGTACGACCACATTAGTCCTGACTAGAACCAGGAAGTACGACCACATTAGTCCTGACTAGAACCAGGAAGTACGATCACATTAGTCCTGACTAGAACCAGGAAGTACGACCACATTAGTCCTGACTAGAACCAGGAAGTACGACCACATTAGTCCTGACTAGAACCAGGAAGTACGACCACATTAGTCCTGACTAGAACCAGGAAGTACGACCACATTAGTCCTGACTAGAACCAGGAAGTATGACCACATTAGTCCTGACTAGAACCAGGAAGTACGACCACATTAGTCCTGACTAGAACCAGGAAGTACGACCACATTAGTCCTGACTAGAACCAGGAAGTACGACCACATTAGTCCTGACTAGAACCAGGAAGTACGACCACATTAGTCCTGACTAGAACCAGGAAGTACGACCACATTAGTCCTGACTAGAACCAGGAAGTACGACCACATTAGTCCTGACTAGAACCAGGAAGTACGACCACATTAGTCCTGACTAGAACCAGGAAGTACGACCACATTAGTCCTGACTAGAACCAGGAAGTACGACCATATTAGTCCTGACTAGAACCAGGAAGTACGACCACATTAGTCCTGACTAGAACCAGGAAGTACGACCACATTAGTCCTGACTAGAACCAGGAAGTACGACCACATTAGTCCTGACTAGAACCAGGAAGTACGACCACATTAGTCCGGTCCTCAGGTCTCTGCACTGGCTTCCTGTGGCTCAGAGAATAGACTTTAAAACAGCTCTGCTTGTTACAAGTCTCTCCATGGCCTCGCACCAAAATATATTAGTGACATGTTAGTCCCATATGAACCAGCCCGGACTCTGAGGAGCACAGGGACTGGACTCCTGCTGGGACTCTGAGGAGCACAGGGACTGGCCTCCTGCTGGGACTCTGAGGAGCACAGGGACTGGACTCCTGCTGGGACTCTGAGGAGCACAGGGACTGGACTCCTGCTGGGACTCTGAGGAGCACAGGGACTGGCCTCCTGCTGGGACTCTGAGGAGCACAGGGACTGGACTCCTGCTGGGACTCTGAGGAGCACAGGGACTGGACTCCTGCTGGGACTCTGAGGAGCACAGGGACTGGCCTCCTGCTGGGACTCTGAGGAGCACAGGGACTGGCCTCCTGCTGGGACTCTGAGGAGCACAGGGACTGGACTCCTGCTGGGACTCTGAGGAGCACAGGGACTGGACTCCTGCTGGGACTCTGAGGAGCACAGGGACTGGACTCCTGCTGGGACTCTGAGGAGCACAGGGACTGGACTCCTGCTGGGACTCTGAGGAGCACAGGGACTGGACTCCTGATGGGACTCTGAGGAGCACAGGGACTGGACTCCTGCTGGGACTCTGAGGAGCACAGGGACTGGACTCCTGTTAGTGTCCAGAGTCAGAACTAAACATGGGGAGGCTGCTTTTCAGATTCATGCTGCTAAAATCTGGAACAATCTTCCTGAAGATGTGAGACAGGCCTCCTCTCTGACAATGTTTAAAACCAGGTTAAAGACAGTTCTGTTTAACTGTGCTACAACTGAGGGATTTTATATTTTTATGATTTTAATGTTCTGTGATTGTTTCTGTCTTGTCACACTTTGAGTTGCCTTGTGTATGAACTGTGCTATATAAATAAACTTGCCTTGCCTATTTTGCAATGACTTTAAACAATATTACAATAACCCATCAGCATTACAGTACATACAAGTTAGATGCACATTTTAATTCTTCCCTTTGTTTTACACAGACGCCAGGTTCAAACCCCTCACTGTAACTTTATTAGTCTGTAGCTTTGGCCTTCGCTGTCCGTTAAGAGAGCGTCACATTTTAATCAATTTATTCATAAAGGAATATAACTCTGGCCTCTGCACAAGATCAGACGGTTGGCTTTTAAACATGTCAAAATGTCCTGTTCTGCTTTCATGTTTGGATAATGTGGAAAACTGCACATGTTTTAATGTTGTTCTGAGTGTTTTAAAGCTCATAAAAAACACTGGACAAATATAAGAAGCTGTAAAAGTTTCCACTATCAAAGTAACGCTAAATTAATTCAATATGTTTAAACTTTGGTCCAACTGTTCTATTTTATATTATATTATAAGTGGTGGTCGAGATCTGTGAATAATATTACAGAAGTTAGTTGTATACATTATATATTTACTACAGCCTCTTGTTTTGTTCAGCACTTTTATGAGTTGTGCTGTACAAATAAACTTGCCTTGCCTAAAAACCAGTAACCAGTGTATTAGTGTTGTTAAAACTGTATTCTGAACTTCATATATTTCTTTCCATTCTCATAGGTCATTGTATTGTTCAGGAGAGAGTGAAAAGTCTTCAACCAAACACATTTGTGTCTAATACTAACATATGTGTAAGGTTTAAACTGTTATTCTAAAGAGAAGCCAGTGCTGCTCAATCCAGGCACGTCCAAACTCAGGCCTGAGAGCCAAACGCGGCCCACTGTGTCATTTCATGTGGCCCTCTACCGCTAACACAAAGGGTTAGGGTTAAGTGAGGTACTTTCACAGTGTCATCCAGCCAACTTCAGCCCCAGCAATTTACTATGTCTTTGTAGCTCAGAACCGTTGGAATCCAGTCGATAACCTTTTCTATAGATACTGACGTTTGATTTTGATTGTGATATATTGATTTCATAATGTAACGGGTGTAAATCCATATTTTATTAAAACTGGCTTAAAAAATGTTCAATACCAAGTAATTGAACATCCAGCAATATATTTTAGTGCATTAGAAATAAAGTTTCACTCCTTGAGCATTTTTTTTTCAAATGTACTGCCAATAACTAAGCCTATAACTAAACAACAACTCTTTGACACATTTCAAAACAGATAAATCTGTTTTTAGCAATTCAACTGTACGATTACTCTTCATTCCATTCCTCTTAAGCCTTAAACATTTTAGCATATTTAGAAAGCTGACTGTCATATGCATCTGTTTCTACTGCGGCACATACCTACACACCGGTAGAATATACTTTATTTTGTACTTTTGAATGAGTGCTTGGCTGCCTGCAGACACAGATATAGTAGGTGCAGGGTGAAAGCACAGAGACGGAGAAACCAGGAAGTAATGCACAAGAGGCTTATTCTGCACTCAGGATGTTGCCGCTGCCAGCAAGGCCAAGGTCACCAACACTGAACGCTTTTTCCGGGCTGCGTCGATAGATACTATTCTGGGTGAAGCCCTCAGAAAGCAATACAGTTTTCTTTTTTTTTAGGGTTATTGTCAACATTCCGCCTTACCTGTGTGAGGAGGCCAGGTTGGATCTGAAGGGGTTGGGCACCGGGGGCTTGTGTCACGATGGGAACGGCGTTTTCCATCCGCACAGAGTAACTGGTGTGCTTAGACGGCGACGCCTGCAGTCCTGGACGGGTAAACAAAGCACACAGAACAAATATAATGTCAGGAGCAGTAGCCTCAGCATCTGTCACTTTGCCGCCGCCGCCGCCGCCGTTGCCGCTCGGTGTAGAATTAAAAGCTGCAGAGATCAGATGAGGTAATGTATGTGATGTAGCAGTTGTCAAAATGTGTTTATTCTTCAGAGCAGCGGTGCGAATATAGCTGCTTTACAGTAACCATGGAAATAGTACAAAAACAGACCTCACTGAGTGAACATTTGTGCTGCATATTAAGCAGCAGCTGAAGGAGTGTCTTTGGCCTGTACATTAAAAAAGCCCAAAAGATGAAAAGAAAGCAGAATTACTTTTCAATAATCACTTTCCATCTACATTCTGCGCCCAGGGTCACAGCTATTCTTGCATCCCAGTTGTGCTTGATACACGGGCAGAAATGTTGATTGGATTTAGTTGAAAATATTTTGGATATTATGAGTGATAACCGTAGACTGTATGGACAATGCTCCGGCTCTCTCCGGCTGGGACTGAAACGTAAACGCCTCGAGCTCAGGAACTATTTGTTTCACATTCACCAGTTTGGACTTAACAAATCGGTAGTTTAGCGCTAGCAATGATCCTGGTGTTGGAACAAGGAAACTGGCTCCAGCTAGCTTACACAGCTACATGCTACTAGCTTAGTTGTTTTCACTGAATATTTGCACAGAAAACAAATGACGTGTTTTATTTTAGTTGTTAACATTCCAACAGAGCTTAAGAACCAGGAGCCCCATGCTACACTTATTTTTGGGGCCGTTTGGGACAATAGACAAACACAAAAGCTTGGCCTGACCTCTTTAAAACAACTACACTCTAACCAGTGACATTTTTAATTCCACTGTAATTATCTAAATCACGGGTCTCCAACCTATTGTTCGGGAGCTACCAGAAGCTCTCCCTCTTCAACGATAATTGAAGGGAGTAAATATTTTATTATGATAGATTCTTGTCTGGGTTTAACACTACAAAACCAAAATGCCAAACTGTTTTTCAATTGGACATTTTGATGGCCTTAGAAAAGTAACACATTACTTTATCTGTGCTGGAAATAATACCAAAGCCTTTCCATTGTCTTAAGTAAGTATGTAAATAAATCATGATTATATCACATCTGTCACCAAAAGTGCTTTACAGTGTTCAGAGTGCAGATATTTTAAGCCTTTGTTAAGTCTTAATTGTTGGCTTAAGAATGACAAACTGTTTTCAAATCAAGATAAAAACTATTCCATCCATTGTAGCACAGCATTATGTCTAAAAGGAGTAGCTCTCTGCCGTGTTGTCCCAAAAACGTAGCTCTCCAAACGGAAAAGGGAAAAGGTTGGAAACCCCAGATCTAAACTATCTGCACTACTGCGCTATATAAATAAATAAAACATTACTGAACAAATGCACATTTTCGCTGCTATGGCCTCAGATCACTGTAACATCACGTCTGAAATGTGGAAATGTGTGGAGTCTCTTTTGAGTTTTATTTATGAAGAAGAATAGGTTTAGGTTTTAATCAGACGACGGAAATGCGTTTGTGGGTTAGTCTTTCTCAGTCTCACTTCTCTGTCGTTGTTTGTGTAACTCTGCAACTTTCTCAGGCAACATTTTTAATTTCCTTATTCTGACTAATTCCAGGTTTACTGTTTACACATCACTAAGTTCTATTTAATTAGTTCTGTTTGTGTAATATCCCTTTAACATGAGAGAATATACTGCAGCTCCATCAGAGGCAAATAGATCATTTCTACAAATAGTTTTAATAACGTGTAAATAATGCGTGCATGAGACATTTATTTTATACCTTCTGTATTAATAGAACCTAGATGTGATCCCGTCAGACCTCTGAAGCTAAGCAAGGTAGGTGCCTGGTTAGTACTGTGATGGGAGACCACTGGGAAAGCCATGTGCCACAGTAGGGTAAGATAAGATCACCTTTATTCATCTCTCAGTGGGGATTTTTCAGCTGCATCTATAAAGTGCCAAACTGTAATTGTGTCCTTAGGCAAGACACTTCACCCACATAGAATGAGTCTGATGTGTGTGTGAATGATTGATGTTGACTTTTTTATATGTCCAAAAAAGCACTATATAAAACTGCAAGGTGTTTGTTTATTTGAGAATATAATAAATATGTTTAATTTTGTGAACAACAATGACTTTCACACAAAACATGAAGTGAACAGTTTAATTCTGTCTGAAAATAACTCTGTACCAACTGAAGAAACTCTGTAAGAACTCAGACTGGATCAAAAGGCACCACGGCCATGTGTGCTTCTGAACTCAACTCAGTCCATCTCATTTTCCAACATTTTCATTTGACCTTTTTTTTTCAAACACATTTTACAATAACTGAAGAAACTGTGGTCATTTTTTGTTCTTGGACATTGAGTTTGTTTATGATCCGGTTTGTAAAACTTGGATCAAGTCTCCCCCTTTTCACTTTGAACTAAAATGTGTGATATTATAGCTTTAGGACATATTCACAGTCCACTTTAACTGGACCAATCATGATTCAGTATTTACTATCACTGTAGATTTAACAAGCACGTTGCTAAAAACCTATTTTTACTCCACACAATCTGATTTTCCACAAGTGTCATGTCTGCACAAATCCTGCATGAGTATAAATGTACCTTGGAAGCCGGGCGGGCAGACGATGAGAGCCTGCTGGAAGGGGTCTGGCCTGGCGGTGCAGATCTGTGGCGCTCCTGCCTGCAGGGGCATGCTCCTCTGGGCCACGGCCGCCATGGAGGCTGCAGAGGGCTGGTAGAGTGCAGATTGGTAGTTTAGTATGGAGACATCGGGACTGGCAAAGGGAATGGTAGCATTGTTGGTGGAGGAGGGAGCCAGGTTGGAGGCCTAAAACAAAGCAATGAAGGGATCAAAATATAAAAAATAAAACAAATCATAAGAGTGAGAATTAAGCAAGACCTCAACTGGGTTCAAAGAAAGTGATTGAAATGATTGTATGTCTTTGATGAAAGCTGAGGGTAATTAATAGATAGGAAAGATGACAAGGAGGGTGCAATCATGTTCAAATGTCGCTGTTGTGCAAAATCACGGCGCAAAACACGACTGACCAACGCACAAAAGCCTTTTTCTAGATTAGAATAAACCGCTCCGTCAAGATGACCACACGCCGCACGCTTTTGACTGCCTCATTCTCCACTTATCAACCACTCAAAACAATATCTCCCCTAATTTTACGGCTTCACATCCTGATTTTGTGAGAGGATCTCGACAGAGTCGGTCTAAATGAAAATGTTTGCAGATCATTACAAGTGAAAATAACAATTTCGACATTTCATGCACTGATTTATATCTCAGCAGCCGATCGATGCAGGTGACAGGGCTAATATTTCACGGCGGTTGTATAATTATGTAAGCTAGGTAACTCTGGCATGCCTTGACCATTAATAAGACATGCGGAAAGCTGCCTGGGAGCATCCAACGTACAAACAAATGCTTTTAAGGGACAATGTTTGCTCAGCCTCTAAGTACTATTTGCACTGTGACGCTGTCTAAATTTAGTTTTCTTTCATTAAGTCGCAGGCGAAGTGAGGCAAAGACTACAAAGAAACGCATTTTCATTTTTCATTTGCTCACTTTAGCGAGTTCAATGAGGATCCAGGGAGGCAACGTAATCAATACAGGTCTGTGGCATTCATCATAAACAAGCGTAGAGCAGCCGCAAACACACACACACTCACACACACACACACACACACACACACACACACACACTCTCACACACACACACACACACACACACACACACACACACACACACATGCAATTGTGTTGGAGCCTTTTGCAAACACAGATGAGTGATTGAAGACATGGGAAACTTAAATCTGTCTCGTTAGGAAAGAGAAAAGATAAGCAGCGGGCATGTAAAGCCGTTTATGTGGCAGCAGAAGTGGTGTTGCACAGTAGGATGCCCACTCAATACAGCTGGTGATAAAGAATAATGTGTGTACGAAATGAGGAGCGTGTAATATGATGTCTGGGAAACTGGCAAAACCACAGATGACGAATTGCGGCAAAAGGCCAAATGTCAGCAGTTTTTGGAAATCGCTTGGTGTAAGGGCAACACCACAGGATTTGCTAAGCCAGGGGGAAAATCTAAGGGAGGAGGGCGGAAAAGAGACACATAGGACACAGGCGAGAGAAGAAGAGGAGGAGGTGGAGGACCGCTAAAGGGAATCTTAAGGCCTGAAAGCTCCCAGAATGCAAGGCAAGCAGGAAGTGGAGCTTGTCATGTGTGTAATCAGCACTTTGTGACCATCCCATAGGACCCGGGGCAGAGACAGAGCAGTGGACACAGATGTACGTGTGGTCAGGCAGGGAGACGAAGCCCGAGGAGCTTTTAGAGAAATACAAACGGACGCTATGTTCCTGTAACAGCCTGTTCTTAGTGGTGTGTGTAAACTATGGTAAAAGAAAATAAAAATGTACAAACATGAATTATCTTATAGTGATAGGATGTGGGCTCAGACTGCTGTCTCACAACCCGGCAACGGATAAAGTGGAAGACAATGAAGAGTTATTAGATCAGACCCCGCCATAAAAAATCCTTTCTACGAGCCAACATCATACATACGTTTTGTTTTAATATTGTCTTGTTATACAGAACTGGCAAAGCAAAAACAGGTATGGGACCTTTTTGTCGATTATCCCGAGAATTACAGAGAAATGAGCCGTAAACTCTAAGGCTAGATGACAGCTCTTATTTGTTCTGAATTGCCACCTGCCTCCGACTGAAATACAGTTAAACTACGATGCGTTTGGTTAAGTGGCTAAGATCATGTTCATAGATAGTGCACCTGAAGAATGTTAGGAGTTGCATTTCTGTATTTAACAATGTTTTCACTGTTAAAAATCTATGACATATTCTGACTTCAAAAGTAAGTATTTATCTTCATTTGAAAGAAATAATAAGATGGGAAGGCTAAAAAGGACGTATTTATGTGTTTTATTAACCAATTTTTGACATTCACAGTTCTGTGTGTGTTCTTTAACCTGTTTTATAGCTTTAAAAACAGGGATAGTCAGATTTCCATCCAATCCACTTTATTCATATATAGCACATTTTATAATGTTTCCAAAGTGCTGCAGAGATAAAGGTAAATATACAAGACTGCAGCTTTAAATAGAATGAATTCAAATGAAATAACAACTTATATATATATATTAGTGCTGTCCAACGATTAAAATATTTAATCGCGATTAATCGCATGAATTTCATAGTTAACTCGCGATTAATCGCAAATTAGTCACACATTTGCGTGCTGTGTGCAATTGCTTTTTTTATTGAAAACAATGTGTAGTGTTATATTACACACTAACATTTGATGCAAAATCATCAATAAATGGATGACAAAATAAATAATTGGTAACAAAAAGCCCCTTCAATGTGTGTGTGTGGGTGTGTGTGTATGTGTGGGTATAGACCATAGACTGTATAGAAACATCATGGTGTCATTATGATGATGATAAACAATTTTTTTGTAAATTTGTTCATGTAAATACTCTATGCTGTTTCTCTGTTTACTTTCGGTATATCTATGACTGTATACTGTTTGCTTGTATTGCCTTTTTTATTAACCCCCTCCCCTCATCTCCCACTTCATGTCCCCCCCCCCCCCCTCCCCTCCTATGTGCCCTTCTGGGTTTCTTCTTTGGCCCCCTGTATCTCCAACTACATATTGTTTGTAATCTCTGTCTACAATGTATCTTAACTAGTCCTTTTCTTTGTGTCTATTTTTTTCTGTATATGTGTTTGTCTGCAATAAAAAGTAAAAAAAAAAAAAAAAAAAAAAAAAAAAATTTTTTTTTTAATAATTATAAAAAAAAATAATGGCGATAAAAAAAATGACGCCGTATAAATATATATTAGGGCTGTCAAACGATTAATTTTTTTTTGGTTGATTAATCGCATAGTAATGGTGATTTATAAACTCACGATTAATCGCAATTTTTAATCATTCTCTTTCAAAAGCCACTTCAATTTAAGTTAAATGGGATTTTCAAATGTAATGACACATTGTTATTCATACCAATTACTTAAAAAATCTGTTTTTGATTTGCTCACAACCCTTCTACTTTTGGGTACACAACCAACAAGAGCAGTTAATGGAAAGGAAAAATGTAGGTACCACCAGCTTAATTTTGCGAGTTTGGTTGCATTTCACGTGTCCTCCTCCTCTCCTCCGTGTTCACGACACATCAAAAATGGCCCCCTGTGCGTGTATATATATGCGGTATTAAATTGACCACTTAACCGCCTGTCCACCATCACACACCACGTGTCCGCGGGCATTCCCCATATGTGGATCCGCACATGCAGCTCTTTTAAACTTTGTCTGTGTGCCATCCTGCTGGAAACACAGCCACCGGGTAACAACCCAACAGAGTACAACGGTGCAAACACTGCTCCCGTCTGTCATCTGAGCAGTGCATTAACCAGTCCAAACACCTGAACAACGGTGCTGACTCCCTGTCCGTCTGACTCTGGGAGCTAAAGAACAACATGGGTTTTCACATTTTTAGAGTCCAATTGAGGGACTGTAGTGTGATCCTCGGCACCAGCTCAAAAATGTTTTGTTAAATTCTAAAAAAAACGGAAATCAAAACCAGGACAGCAGTTAGACGGTCCCAACTCAGCAAATCTAATTTTCTGTTCCCTGTAGAAATCAATCAACCACATTAATCGACTCTGACGTTATTTTAACCCTTGCTATGCTTAATGTCCGATCTCTATGTAACAAATCATTTTTAATTAATAATTTTTATCACTTCTTATGATCTTGATTTCTATGCTTCATGGCTGAAACACGGCTGGCGACCAAAATAACAAGGATAATGGCAGTTCCCTAATAGAAGCACCACCGACCCAATTTTAAATTCGAATCCGCGCAAGTCCGTAGAAAACACAAAATGGGGGGGAGGCATAGCAGCAGTTTTATAGAGAGGTCACTTTGTCTCCCATAGAATGCCCCCTTGGGAAGTATTTATTTCTTTTAAAATGGAACAAAAGCAATCTTCTACTCTTTTCATTGTCCTGTACAGGCCACCACAGTCATGTTGCGATTTTATTGACCATTTTACTGAACTACTTTCATTCGTGTGCACAGATTTTGATAGTTTAGTTATTACAGGTGATTTTAATGTACATGTTGATAATGTTGATGACAGAAATGCAAAGGAGCTGGCTTCTGTACTTGAGACCTTTGGTTTCATTCAGCACGTGAGTGGCCCCACCCACAGCAGGGGGCACACTCTTGACCTGCTAATTACAAAGGGGGTTAATGTATCAAATGTTAATGTAGTTGATGTTGCTTTGTCAGATCATTTCTGTGTATTTTTTGACATGTGTTTTGCTAGCAAACCACCAGCTGAATTTACAATTGTTAGAAGAAGACACATACATGAAAACACAGGTGAACTGTTCATGGGAATGCTAAATTTTGAGAAAACTCCATGCTCTACTGTTGATGAATTGTATAACTCTGTCACCACCAGTGTTCTGAATGTTCTGGACGCCATTGCTCCTGTGACGGTTAAAATAGTTACCAGTAAGAAAAAGGCCCCATGGACTAAGGCAGACTCGGTCAGGGCACAGAAGCAAGAGTGCCGGAGGGCCGAACGGAAGTGGCGAAAGTCCAATTTCCAGGGCGATTATGAAATCTTTAAAGATGAGTTGGGTGAATTTAACCGGGTTCTACGAAGAACAAGAGAAATGTATTTTTCTGACATTATTGGAGGTTGCAGTAACAATTTTCGTGTTATGTTTTCAACAGTTGGTAGATTAACGAACCCCCCTGTAAAGTTGCCCCTAGAATTTTCCTCTAAATCTAGGTGTAATGAGTTCGCACAGTTTTTCGATGACAAAGTACAAGGAATCAAAAACACTATCACCTCCACAGCACGTATAACAATGCAACAGCCAGAGAAGCTTTTTGAGCTAACTCACTTTGCACCTGTGGATACTGAAACTGTCAAAAAGATAATCATGAGTCTGAGCTCCTCCACATGTAGCCTGGATATATTGCCCTCTAAATTTCTGAAGTCCGTCCTGAGCAGTTTGTTACCTTCACTGACACAAATAGTAAACATGTCTCTGTCGTCAGGAACATTTCCTATGGCCCTAAAAACAGCAGTCATAAGACCTCTCCTAAAAAAGAGCAGTCTGGATCCTGCGGGACTTCAAAATTATTGCCCCATATCGAATCTGCCATTCATTGGAAAAATTCTTGAAAAAGTGGCCTCCCAACAACTTACTGAATTTTTAACAATGAATAATTCTTTTGATATGTTCCAGTCTGGGTTTAGACCCCACCACAGCACTGAGACCGCTCTAGTGAAGGTAACAAACGACATTCGACTTCACACTGATGCAGGTAAAGTCACAGTTTTGGTCATGTTAGATCTTAGTGCCGCGTTCGACACTGTCGACCATGAGATCCTCATGCAGAGACTGGAGGACTGGGTTGGTGTCACTGGCACAGCCCTAGACTGGTTTAGGTCTTACCTGGAGGATAGGAAGTACTTTGTGGAGTTTGGAGACTGCGTCTCAGATCATGTGGCCCTGACCTGTGGAGTACCACAGGGGTCGATCCTGGGACCTCTCCTATTTAATCTCTACATGCTGCCGTTAGGTCAGTTAATACAAAGAAACAAAGTGTCCTACCACAATTACGCCGACGACACTCAGATCTATGTCTCACTGACTGCAGGAGAACATGGACCACTGGATTTGCTCCTTCACTGTATCCAACAGATCAGTGAGTGGATGCAAAATAATTTCCTCCAGCTAAATGCAGACAAAACCGAAATCATTGTCTTTGGTCCCCAGAAACAAAGAGAGGGCGTCATCTGTCAACTTCAGTCTCTCTCCCTACTTCCTTCAGACAAGGTCAGAAATTTGGGGGTAATACTGGACTCAGACCTAAATTTCAATAGCCACATAAAATCAATAACATCAACAGCTTTTTACCATCTGAAGAACATTGCCAAAGTTAGAAATATAGTGTCCAGGGCAGACTTGGAGATTCTTGTCCATGCATTTGTCTCCAGCAGGCTAGACTACTGCAATGGCCTGCTCACAGGTCTGTCCAAACAGACCTGTAAGCAGCTGCAGTACATCCAAAATGCAGCAGCTAGAGTCCTGACAGGAACCAGGAAGTATGACCATATTAGTCCGGTCCTCAGGTCTCTGCACTGGCTTCCTGTGGCTCAAAGAATAGATTTTAAAACAGCTCTGCTTGTGTACAAGTCTCTCCATGGCCTTGCACCAGAATACATTAGTGACATGTTGGTGTCATATGAACCAGCCCGGACTCTGAGGAGCACAGGGACTGGCCTCCTGCTGGTGCCCAGAGTGAGAACCAAACATGGGGAGGCTGCGTTTCAGATCCATGCAGCTAAGATCTGGAACAATCTCCCTGAAAATGTGAGGGAGGCGTCTACTCTGTCAATGTTCAAATCCAGGTTAAAGACTGTTCTGTTTGCCTGTGCATACAACTGAAGGATTTTATCTCCATTTGTAATGCACTGCTGTCATTTATTTATTTTATTTTTTTAAATTTCTTGTGTAACTTTGAAAGTGTTAATGGTTTTATTCTTTTGTGTGATTTTATTGTTTTTATTGTGTTTTAATCTTTTGTGTGATTTTAATGTTTTAATTGTGATTCTGGTGTTTGTTTTATGTGATGATTTGTGATGTGGACTGTGAAGCGCTTTGTGTTGCCCTGTGCATGAAAGGCGCTCTACAAATAAACTTTGATTGATTGATTGATTGATTTTTACATTACGTGACACTAGTGATAGAACTAAACTGCAAGTGAGAGGGAGTAAATAATTAGAATGATTTTATTACATAGTTACGTACCCCAGCTTTACTGTGAAGCTTTGCACAGGCACACTTGCATTTATCTGCAAATATAGACATGCGTTGGAGATTCAGGATGATAATGAAACTGGAAATACTTGGCAATAATTGAAACCAAAAGTTGTCCCTCCTTCTTTCATGCTGCTCTTTCACATTTTCACAAAAGGCTTAAGGCTTTTTCTCCACAGTTTCTCTACAGAAGAAGAAATAAATATCCATCCAAGACCAGAACATGTCGGAAAATATATTTATACCATTTCAGCTGTAAGAATGATGAAATATATTTTGCCAAAGGTTTGTCAAAAACAATGACAAGGCCAAGTCATCTAAAGCCCATTTTCCAAGTAGAGTAGAGTAGAGTAGAGTAGAATAGAGTAGAGTAGAGTAGAGTAGAGTAGAGTAGAGTAGAGTAGAGTAGAGTAGAGTAGAGTAGAGTAGAGTAGAGTAGAGTAGAGTAGAGTAGAGTAGAGTAGAGTAGAGTAGAGTAGAGTCCAGCCAAGAACAGTGGCGCTGAGTGGAGTAGAGTAGTGCCGCATAGATTACCATAGAGTAGAGTACAGTAGAGTAGAGTAGAGCAGAATAGAAGAATTGAGTTGAAGATTCAGATTCAGATTACTTTATTTACCATTGTGCAAAACACACAGGAGTTTGACTTGGCAACATGACAGTGTGCATTCATCTTTATCACTCAGTGCAAGAGATATAAATAAAATAGATATTGTAATAAAGTGCCATAGTGTTCAGTCCTTGTTCCTAGGGGGCAAGGGAAGAAGGGAAACCAGCGTCAGTGAGCAGCCTGGCCGCTGAGGGGAAAAAACAGTTTTTGTAGCGCTCTGTCTTATGGGGCTTTCAGACCGAAAACGCTGAAACGCAGCAGCCCAGCTTACCAGACGCGCATTCTCTAGTTTTCAGACGCAGAGGCTTGCACACCGCCAAACGACGCACGAACACAAGCACGCCCACCTCACAACACTTCCGCCGGAAGCGTGAGGCGTATGGGCGGGCTTTCCATATTCACAACAACTCAACAAAATGGCGGATCAGGCGAGGCAGCAAGCGTTCGTTTACTTGGTTCATAGAGTTCTTGAACGACGGCGTGCACGACGGCGTGTCTGGGTTCACGATATCTTCCAGAGACGGTCAGAGTATGGCGAGTTCCACCATTTGTCACAAGAGCTGCGGCTGGATGAGGTGCGATTTCAGCGGCACTTCCGTCTCACGGTGGCCCAGTTCGATGACCTGTTGGGCCGCGTAGGTGCACGAATCTCTCACCAAGACACCAACTACAGACGTTCCATCTCTCCTGCAGAGCGCCTCTCCATCTGCCTACGGTCAGTAATTGTGTGTGTGAGCGTGTGTCTTTGTCTCTGTGTGTGTGTTCGGTCTGTTTGTGTGTGTCTTTGTCTCTGTGTGTGTGTTCGGTCTGTTTGTGTGTGT